GTGACCAGTTTGCGCGCAGAAAACGGAACTGCCCGGCTAATAAGAGGTCCGACAGCGATGACACGGTGTTTGCTGTTGGTGAAGGAAAGTCATCAGGATGACTGATTGACAGTGGGGCAACTTCCCACATGACTCTACACAGGAAGGACTTGTTTGCATTACAAGGGGCTTGAAGCTAGCATTGAAGTTACGATTGCAGATGGGAAGAAGTTGCTCGTTGAAGGAGCTGGCACGGTGAAACTGACTGGATTGGACGAGAAGGGCATTCGCATGGTGGAAGTTCTGCACATTCCCGGACACGACAGAAGATTACTATTCGTTGGCAAGCTTGCAGAGCGTTGTATGAATGTGGAGTTCTCGCGGTCGTCTTGCGTCATCTGGAACAAGAAGCAAGCGATTGCGTCAGGTGGAAGAGTCGGGAAGTCGTATTTGCTTGACTGTGAGCAAGAGGAAGCATGTCTCATTGAATATTCTGGGGCTGATAATCAGTGAGATCTTTGGCATGCTCGCATGGGACACACCAGCAAGGACACGCTGGTCAAGACGCAACGCTCAACAAAAGGAATTCCAAATATCAAGCAAAATGAGCAAACATTGTGTGCTGGGTGTTTAAAGGGCAAGCAAACAGTCACGGCAATTCCATCTCGCTCGATTACAAAAACGACAGGTGTGGTGGAACGCGTACACACAGATGTCATGAAGCCTATGAGGGCTTTCTCGAAGGGTGGTGCCAAGTACTATCTTACGTTTGTGGATGATTACAAGATATTGGCGATTTCTACAATCAAGATTAGGAGTGAAGTGGCTGGTAAGTTTAAGGAGTTTCTGACGCTTTGCGAGAACCGATAGGGTGCGCGACTGAGGCGTTTACGATCTGACAACGGAACCGAATTAATAAACAAGGCAATGGCAACAGAACGGAGTAGCGGAGCGTATGAACAGGACTATCATGGAGAAGGCCCGCATCATGTTGCATTACAAGAGCGTCTCGACGGAATGGTGGGCGGAAGCGGTAAACACAGCAGTTTATTTAATAAACCGCTCCAGCAATACGGGCCATCCAGACATCACACCCTACCAGCTGGCTTTCAAGATGAATCCTCAAATGGATCACTTGCGCGTGTTTAGTTTGCACCGCTACGCTCACATTGACGATGTAATACGGACCAGACTGGAACCCAAGAGCTTCAAGTGTATGTTTCTCGGCTATGCAGAGGATGTCAAGGGCTATCGCTTGGTTGACTTGGAGAATGCCAAGATCAAAGTGACTCGCTCTGTGAAGTTGGATGAGCGTGAGGTGGGCGGCATTTACGACACGCAATGGGTCAAGCCGAAACGAGCCATTTAACTAACGAAAGATGGTGATGATGTCAAGGTTCAGCATCAAGTGGATTTTCTGGACGATCCGATGGAAGCGGTCGAAGAGCCAGTTGCGGATGTCGTAATATCGATGTACAGCGGCTAATGCCTTCCAAGAGCCCTCTACAAAACAGACTTAAGCTTATGGAGTATCATTAACCGCCTCAAGTGCAACACGAAGATCGTTTGGTGTCTCGGCCTGAAGTGGAGCAAACAAGAGCAAGACGTGAGCAGGTGCTAATGATAAGGAACGGCTCAGATGACGATGAGTCGGCAGAAGGCAGTAAAGGTCCACCGACTCCGAAAAGTGCTAGGATTGACGAGGATGAGCTAATTCAAGAAGCTGTTCTTGCTTACGCTGTTAGCATTGACGATGATACGGACCTACCAACTACGTATGCTCAAGCAATGGCAAGCGACGATGCGATGAAATGGCGTGAAGCGATGAATGCTGAGCTTCGCTCTCATGAAGATAATCGAACGTGGACATTGAAGCCAGGAGGAAAGTTTAAACGCACAATTGGATCACGATGGGTATTCGTTAAGAAGCGTGATCAAAACGGCGATGTCGTGCGATACAAAGCATGGCGTCGACGTTTCCGAGACATATTCCCCGGTCGCCAACATGAATTCGATCCGAATAATTCTCGCAGTATGTGCTGAATGCAACTATCAAATGGAACAGCTGGACGTTGACACGGCTTTATTCAACTGCGTGTTGACGAACAACGCATTTATGGAAGTTCCGCTAGGTGTCAACAATGATCAAGGATACATATATCAACTAAACAAGGCTATCTACGGACTGAAACAAGCAACAAGTGCTTGGATCAAGACG